GCGCCAAAGAGTTTGCCTCTTGAGCCAGGGTGGAAAGGGCAGTGCGATCCTCATCCGACATTCTCTGGAAAAGTGGAGCTGCTTTCTCCCAGAGAATTTGTTGGTATGCCCCCATGCAAGCACCATAATTGGCCATGCGGGCCAGTAGGAGGGCACCGGAGTAGAGCTTCCTGCCTACTGCGTCAAATCTCTTCCCCTCACGGTCGGACGGGGCCGACGATTGCCTCCTCAAACCTTGAGCCGCTTTCACGACCACCGAATTGGGATCGGGATGGTGTTTCAGCCACTCCAAGCCCTCATCATCTGTTCTGTACCATGATTCAATCTTTTTGGAGGTTGGAGGGATGGAGGAGGGGGTTTTCCAGGAGCCCTGGATCACCTCGAGGAGATACAGGAAGAAGGGTAGAAGAGGAGCAGGTGGAGACTCCGATTGCACCCTCTTGAACACCGGGTCTTGTACTGCCTTGGAAGTCTGCTTGACCTCCAGGCCTAAGGCATCAGCCATGCGAGCCATTTGATCCGCAAAGGCTCGGACATTGTCCGTGGGAGATGGTGGATCCACTTCATATGCGTCATGAGTGGGTGATCTCTCGATCCCGAGAGATAACACGGATTCCGAGTGTACCGATCCCGGCAACTCGCCATCTTCCTCTTCGTCATCAGCAGCCACGGATTGGGGAAGAGGGGATGAAGAGACATCCCGACTCGGGCGTTGCGGTGGAGCTGCTGGCGGGGCTTTTGAGGTAGAGGCCTGAATGGCACGGGCCAGTCTCATAGTCTGCCTGCCCCTTTCCGGAGTCTCCAGCAGTGGAGAAGTCTCCTGTCTTGCCATCACAGTTGTCAGGGTCGTGACCGACGGGAAAAGCTCCTGTCTGGCTGTCACATGTCGAGTTGGTGCCTCGATCACCGTGTCCACCGAAATCACCGGGGACTCGGGTTGCTCTGCAGGCAGCTCTGGCAACGGTTGTGGCTCCTGAGTAGGCTGAGGAGTCGGCAGGGGTTGAGCAGACTGCAACGGCGATGACCTCGCCGACGAGGTGGCCGAGGAGGCGGTGGTCTGCTTTCGGGAGGAAGAAGAAGACGAGGATGGAGGCGGCATCGCCTTCTTCTTCTTCGCCGGCGGCTGTGCTGTCTTCGACAGAGACTTGCCCGGGGTGGGCGGGACGGAGGATGAGGTGGAAGCACGCCGAGACTCCTCATGAGACCGGCGGAAAGCGATACGAACCGCCGTGGAAGATGGCGGAGTCGCCGACGTCGACCTCGTGGACCTCACGGACCTCACTGACGCCACCGAGCTAGTCGAGGAGTGCCGAACGCGTACGGTCTCGGTCGTGACCGTGCATGGAGCTTTCTGCTTCGTAGGCTTTGCAGCCTTGGAAGCTGTCGACACCGAAGCCTTGGAAGCTGTCGACATGGCTGCTCTCGGCCTCTTCTGTGCTGCCTTCTTCGCCCTTGTCTGGCGAGGCTCGACCTCCGTCGAGAGATCGACAGGCTCTGATGATGTCGATGGCCTGGATACCGCAGCTGACGTCGACGCCGAAGTCGATGTTGAAGGTACCGGTGCCAACGTCTGTTGGTACAGGAGGTACCGAAGTCGATGAACCCGATTCTTACGGGACTGTGCCGTCAAAGACTGACAATGGCGACACGAAGAAGTGATGTGCGCCTCTCCGAGGCACAAAAGGCAAAGAGCGTGCTTGTCCGAATCAGGGATCTTCCTCGGACAATTTGCGCATCTTTTGAAGCGAGTCGTTGACATAATACTGTCAAACAACTCGAGGCAAATATCTATGAAGAATCACAATCCAACAATCAAAGTACCGAAGCGAGCCGTGCGACGGAAAAAAAGGAATTGGATCGGTGTGCGCGGGGCGCCCTTTTATCCCCTGCCGGGGCTGGGCAGGGTTACCACCAAAAATTGAAAAGTTTGAAATGTAGAAGTTTCCGTTGGAGCCCACGCAAGTGTGCATTCGCAGAGACCACGAAGAAAAAATATTATTATACATACTGTCATGCATCTGGAATCTAACAAGGGCAATGAAGACTTATCCTAGTTCACAACTGAATTGTATTCCAGTCTGCAGAATGCTTCCCATCTATTAAAACCTGAGTATGGACAATAAAGTAGTCTAAGCAGGTACAAGCTGTCTTTAAAAACGAGTGGGATTGAATAACATCTGTTGGAAGCAGTAAATCACACGTGTGATGGTGTATAATGGGTAAACAAATCAAAAAGGGCATTCTTTGATTTAATTAAAGTATTGATTTAGCTGTCCTTTTGGTTTCAGCTGGAGAGGATTCTGGAGTGTGCCCTGCTGTTACTGACTTCGTGTGTAAGAACAAGCAGTGCATCGAGTCTCACCTTGTCTGTGATTACAAGCCTGACTGCAAAGACTGGTCAGATGAAGCTGATTGCAGTAAGTACTTCTATATCTACATTCATGTAAGTTGCATTTTGAAAGGGGAAAAAATTAGGTGCTCAACTACAGCTTCTTAAAGCTATTTGGGAAAATGTAATGATGAGTACATGTTCCTTTGTAGTCCCCTTTGTGTTCAAGATTCAACACCTCCTTATTTCTAGAGAATTGGATAAATCCAATTTTACCTTGTACCCTGTCAACATTTTCCAAAACATATTGCCATTTCTGGGCCAATCCTCGGCATGCTTACTCAAAAAACTCTTACAGGCAAATGTGAATACTCTTTTCATCTCACATTTCAGCAAAAAACAAAAAATGATCCATTCTTAAACAGATTATCAAAATAGAAAAATGTAACTCATTTTTAATGTTAAGAGAACCAAACAGCTTAAAGTGAATACAGATTGTGACAGGAAAAGTCAGAAAATAATCATAAGGCCTCAGTGAGGAAAAGTTACATATCTTAATCACAGAAAATGTTACCTTCTAGTGATTTTACATATACAAAGCATCCTGAGCCATATTTCACAAACTTTTGACACCTTCTGTTGATTAGATAAAAAGAACACATGAATAAGATACAAAAGAACATATATGAGTTTTTGCTCTGTACTGATGAATTTGTATGGCTGTGCCAGTCTTTTGTTGCTTAGTTGCTCCCATTACATGTTTTTTTAAATAGAAAATCCATATGAGGATTGTTTAACTGTTTGAAGTGTTTCCAAACCTGAATCTATTGACACTACATTAAGCCCAATCTACTGTCTAACTCTGGGTGCATCTCCAGACATAGGCAAACTTTGGCCTTCCAGGTGTTTTGGACTACAACTCCCACAATTCCTAACAGCCTGCCAATTTAGGAATTGTGGGATCATAGAATCATAGAGTTGGAAGAGACCTTGTGGGCCATCCAATCCAATTACCCGCCAAGAAGAAAGACAATTGTGCTCATAGCAATTGAAGTTCAAAATACCTGGAGGGCTAAAGTTTGCCCATGCATGATCTACACTGTTGAATTAATGCAGTCTGACATCATATTAACTGACATGACTCAGTACTATGGAATCATGGGTGCTGAAGTTTTACAAGGTCTTTAGCCTTATCTGCCAAAAGGTGCTGGTGTCCCACCAAACAACAAATGCCAGGGTTTTAAATGGAACACACACAATCACACAACAGTTTAAGCCAGTGGTTCTCAAACCACTCTTTATTTATTTTATCTTATCTTATCTTATTTTATTTCTGCTCCTTTCCACAGAGCTAACTAGCCCTGCCCTTTTTGGTACTAATGTTGGAAAGTGGTCCCTGTTCAAAGGGGTCCCTGGTCAAGTGGGCCCTGGTCAAAAAAAGGTTGGGAACCAGTGGTCTAAGCAGTAGTTCAGTTGCTATACACAAGAGAAAGAAATCCTTGGTTGCTTTTTGGAAGTGAGAAATCCAACCAAGACTGCTGTTTCTTCTCTTATAGACTAAAGTGGCAACATTTTCATCATTAAGGAAAATCCCCATTTGCAGATGGGTGGATGGTTACCAATATGAAGAGGCTTTATCCCTCTCAGCAAATTTCGCAGCTCTATCCGACCTCCTTTTCAGTCAACACACCGATTGTTTGTTATTAAGCTAATCAATGTGGAACTTGGGTTAGCTCCATCATAGTTAGGAACAAAGAAATCATTCCTTCTGTTCCGCGGAAATTATTTTCCTTATAACAAAAACACAGATCACAAGTGAGGCCATAGCTCAAACTACTTGTTAACACTTTGTATAGAACAAAACATTTTTACTTGAGTCTGCATTCATCCAACATGTTTTGCCATTAAATATTTGCTCCTCGGGGACCCAATTAGCTTGAATGATTACATTGCTTTCCTTCTTTGTTTGAGATAAGAGAGTTCTATTGAAACTGAAGCAAATGCATATATAAGAGAGGAAAAGTTCATTATAGGCAACATAAAACAAAAGAGTTTTATCATATAACTTAGAAATGGTGACCTACTACTCTGTGTGTGTGTAGACAAATGCATGCCTGGGTAGCTAATGCAAGCTACCTTGTTGAATCCTCCACTGTGAAAATATTTGCCATGTGCTGTATTTATTTATACATGTGTGGATAAACACTTGAACTTGCATCTTACATTTCTAGTGTCTGAACAACATTTACAGCTGATAACAACCCAAGATAATAAAATAGCTGAACAATAACCACCAGTGGCACAAAAAATGGAGATTAACACCATCTTGATAAAACATGACCAATTTTGAAAAAGAAAAAGTGTCTATGCCAAGCATGGGCAAACTTTGGCCCTCCTGGTATTTTGGTCTTCAACTCCCACAATTCCTAACAGCCAGTAGGCTGTTAGGAATTGTGGGAGTTGAAGTCCAAAACACTTAGAGGGCTGAAGTTTGCCCAAGGCCTGGTCTATGCTAAATATACTAAGCAGTCCTGCTAATGTACTTATTATCCTAATATTATGAGAAAGATAACTAAAAATGCATGTACACTGTAGAATTAACACAGTTTGTTCCCACTTTAACTGTCATGGTTCAATGCTGTGGGTTCATGGAAATTATTTGTTGAGGCACTAGCACTCTTTGGCAAAGAAGGCTAAAGTCCTTGTAAGATTGCATTTTCCTTGACAGAATGCTATGGAATTGTATGGAGTTGTAGTTTTGCAAGGTCTTTCAGCTCCTCTGTCTAAATATTCGAATGCCTCACCCAGCTACAACTCTCAGGATTCTATAGCATTAAGCAATGGCAGATAAAGTGGCACCAAACTGCATTAATTCTACAGTCTAGATGCACTCTAGTAAGCAAATTTCAACAAAGAGAAAATAAATCTTTCCCACATAACGATTTCATTCTTTGACATGTTTTCCAGCTGCCATAAGTGAACCAATGCATCAATAATCTAATGCTCTGTAATGATCTCTCAGCAAAAAATAAATAAATATGAAAAGCATGATTCATTCTGTAATGCTATTATAGGACACTATGCTTTGTAGTGGTTTGTGAAAGCACCCCCTGAAGGACTGCTAATCGCATCTGCTTTCTTTTCTTATACAGACAATGAACAGAACCATACAGTCCCATCTGTATATCAGTTTGAGCCTTGATAAAGCTGCCCAAACTGTGTAACAAATAGGTTTTCACAAAGAATGAAAAGGAACTGTACAAGCAGACATTAAAAGCAGAAAGCTTGCTTCAATAGGCAATGGGAGTTGTGGCACATATCTCTGATCCTGAGACATTTGAAGCACTCTCAAAGCAATCCTACACGTCTAATCAGAACAAAGTTTCACTGCAGTCAGTGCTCTTTATGTCATAGTAAATAAATACATTAGGATTGTAGCCTTTCTGTCTGAGGGCTCATTACAAGTGTCACTTAATAGCAGATGGGGCCATCCACTTCATCTCCAACCCACCACTTAACACACCACTTATTTTCCTGCTGCACAGGAAAAATGGGATGGCAGCAGCAGCCCATATGGACAGTGGACTGATCTGCATCAGACCTGGTCCTGCTTTCACAGTTTGCCCAAACCAAGGGGTTGGTCAAACTCTGGAGTATCCCTCAACTTTCCTCAATGCAGACTCTACTTGGATTTACCATTGCAATAAGGACTGTAAGTGGCCAAACATCATAAAGCCCATTCAAAGCACCCCTGACAGATGGCCATCCAGCCTCTGTTTAAAAGCCTCCAACGAAGGGGTGTCCAGCACATTCTGGAATCTCCTTTCCTGTACTTTGAAGCCATTGTACCACATCCTAGTCTCCAGGACAGCTGAAAACAAGCTTCCTCCTTATGACTTCCCCTCCCATATTTATACATAGCCATCATGTATCCTCTCAGCCTTCTCTTCTTCAGGCTAAACATGTCCAACTCTTTAAGCCACTCCTCATAGGGCTTGTTCTCCAAAGGGAAAGGCTTGCAGAAAGAGTGGTATCTTAAGTCCTTTTTTGAAACTCAGGTCTCCTCTACAGACCAAAGAGAAAGGATAGCAGAAAGAGTGGTATCTTAACTCTGATTCTTTTAATCCAGGTCGTAATGAAGAATCTAAGGACAAGCAATGGCATTGCCTAAAATGACAGGAAGGGAAGCACACACACCCACCCCAATTGCCACCAATGGGCTGGATCTAGCCACATTTTCTGGCCAAGAGAAAGGATTGCAGAAAGAGTGGTATCTTAAGCCCTTTCTTTAGACCCAGGTCTCCTCTACAGACCAAAGGAGAAAGGATCACAGAAAGAGTGGGATCCTAACTCTGATGCTTTTAATCCATGTCTTAACTAAGGATATAAGGACAAACAATGTCATTGCCTAAAATAAAAAGAGGCCCTCCTCCTTATTGCCACTAATGGGCTGCATTTTCTGGCTGTGGACTGAAAACGGCTATTTGGCTACCTGTCCATTTTCGGGAGGCACATGAAAACGAATCTGGGGGTCTCCCGAAATTCAACCAGCAGAAATGGATCAAGGTTCGGCCAAAACACATAAGCCTAGTTTCAACCCTCTATGACTTGAAAATCCCAAAAGCAAACCTTGATTTTGCCATTTTATTTAAAGGGCACTATTTTACTAAATTGTTGTATATAATGGGACTGGAGCATTCACTGATTTTGGTGTCCACAGGGGCCCTGGGACCAAATCTTAGGAGATACATTGGTCCCACTGTATAACTGCTTCTGTGAGACAGTAAAAAGTTTAATGAGAGAAAGAGGCACTGTTCCTTCCAAATGGAGAGTAACATGAAGTTCTTAAAATCAGTAATGTTATTGATGGAAGAGAAACTGCACACAGGCTGAAAGCACATTTACTTTTTTTGAACTGCATTCAATTATGCATAGATTTTATTAATAGCAGGCCTCCTTGTTGATGAACCATCTAGTCAAAAGCCTTGGCATATTGAAATAAAAGCAATTTTAAAGACAAATGGAACAATCCTTTCCCCATCCTTTGAAAACAGACTTGCTTTACATCAAAAAGAAACAAATGGAAAGAAGGTGCAAGCAGGCAGCTGACTTGCATCTGCAGTTCATAGATTCTTCTTAAATACCTACTGTATGCAATTCAGGAGGGCTAATGTGATGAAGCTGATAGAGTGTTGAACTAGGGCTTTGGGAGACCAGAGTCCAAATCCTCTTTGACCGTGGAAACTGACTGTGTAACCTTGGACCAGTTGTACTCTCTCATCTTCAGAGGAAGACAAATAGAGTAGACCCACTGAATTAAAGGAAGTTACATACATGCTAACTTGTTATATTTTTGTTCATTCAGTGGTCTACTCCAGCTGGCCAAACAACCAAAATATAAAAACCTATACATATGACGTTGTGGCTCCTAGAGCTGTAGTAACATTTTTGTGCCTGCTTACTTGGTAATGGAAAGAACACTGTTCATTGTGCATCTCCCTCATAGAGGCCTGGCCAGTGTCAACAATCTCATTCAACCAAGAGTAATATTGCATTATTCATTCAGCTGGGAATAGCTTCAACAAATAGTACTGCAATTATGATATTTTATGGTTTTCCATTGGTCTCACATGAGAAATAAATCCCCTTTGCTTCTACTCTGCAAACAGTTCTGGTGCATTCTATTACAATATTTTAAAAATGTAAACTGTTTTTTGAACCAGGTGACGAACAGTTGTTTATGAATTTATTTATTTATTTATTTACGACATTTATATGCCGCCCTTCTCACCCCGAAGGGGACTCAGAGCGGCTTACAAGGTTTATATACATACAATATACATACAATAATGAAGACCATTAATTATTAGTAAATGAATGTGCTTTTTCCTTCCCCCTTTATTTTGGTAGGCCAATACACCACTGTCCCAGGAAGCTGTAACTTTGAGACTCAAGGCCAAGAATGGAGTTCTGTGTGTGGACTTAGACAAGATTTTGAAGATGACTTTGACTGGAACATTGGCAACAAGGTTGTTATAGAACATGGAAACCTAATACAGGATCACACCCCAGGTAATGGGCTATTGGTCTCAGCCATTTGGGAGAAATGACTGGAAGTTGTTATTCCTCGCTAAAATAGTCACTAGCTATTTGTTGACAGAATGGTCAGAGGGGCATGAGACCAATTTTGTGTGCTTTCTAAAGAAGAAAAGCATACAGAATGTATCCTTCCTAAGAACTAATTGCAGAATGCCAAAGGCAGGGTGGAGTAGAAAGCAAGGTTATTTCATTTTCAGTTGTGACTACACAAGAGTGAACAGGATACCAGAAAATGCTAAGAAGATCACTTTTAGTTTTGTCTAATGGTGCTGGTTGGATGTGGATAACATAAAGTCACCCAGAGGTTGCTGCTTATCAACCTTTTTCATCTGTGCTTGAGTTAGCAGAAGTCAGTACAATTTTACCAATTGTTCCCTTCAAAGCAAATACACGTATATCACTCCTGATTCTGTGTTTTGACTGAGTGCATTTCTTTATTCCTTTCTCTAAGATAATGGACTGCTAAATAAAATGTAAAGATACAAATTAATCAGGACCCCCTGGGAGAAAAATACTGTTCTGTTAGATTAAATTGTGCTTCTGTACATTTGCCTGCATTTTGGGTTTTTTTAAGTTGTTAATTAAAGAGGCCTTGTAAACTTTCCCCTTTCAAGTCCCATTTTGATGAAGAAGTAAAGTAGTACAGTAAATGTATATGGGCTATTGACCCCCCCCCCCCCGGGGCAAGAAAAGCGGTATATAAATACTGTAAATAAATATATAGGAAGCAGATAAGGAGGCCAAAGCCATTTCAAAGACAAGGATGCTAGGAGCTAGAAATAAAGATGACCTAGCAGATAAGGGCCCTTCTATATTGGCCCAGAGGATTCCCCGGTGCTGCAATGGGTTAAACCCTTGTACCAGCAGGACTGAAGGTCACAGATTCGAATCTGGGGAGAGCATGGGTGAGCTCCCTCTGTCAGTCAAGCTCCCCTTGCAGGGACATGAGAGAAACCTCCCACAAGGATGGTAAAACATCAAAACATCTGGGCATCACCTGGGCAATGTCCTTGCAAACAGTCAAGTCTCTCACACCAGAAGCAACTTGCAGTTTCTCAAGTTGCTCCTGACATGAAAAGAAATATTGGCTCAAATGTGTAGTTCATGGCCTTTTCAGCAAGAGGTGGCCAGACACTCACCCATGCTGAACTGTTGTTAGCACAGGTGAACACAGGCACATGGCCCTCTACCTTACTCAGCTGGATGCTTCTCCGTGCTACACGATGCATCTAAATCATGCGAAGGAGTTTTAGAGAGGCACCATGAGCACGGAGAAGCATCCAGCCTTGGTAAGGAGGCTTTCCATGCTTTTTTTAATGGTGAAACAGATGCCATGGAGGGAAGGATAGCACTGCCATCCCATCTTCGCAGATTGCCAGGGCCCGTCTAAGCGGAATGGCTGTAGGGACTGTCCCTGGGATTGCAGATGGCAATCTTGAGAGGCAGGCCCAATATCTGGAAAGATGAGGACATTCCTGGGAGGTCTGCATCTTCCCAGGATTAAACATGGGGTTCTAGATTTTCCCCAGGTTAATTCACATTTTATGGGGTGCTTTAAACAGCATTTTAGGGACCTAAGTTACAGAAGGATAGGAGCTCTACCGTTCTAGCAGTTGAAAGGCCATAAGTTAAGATTTGGGCCATATGATTATATGATGCTATCAATCCTCTTCTAGAAATCTTATCTTCCTTTCTCAAAACTACAATGTCCAGATCTCAAGCTCGTAAGAACATCATCTTTATTGTCTGTACTAAAGACATAATCTGAACTTTCAGAATAGCTGGGAGTTTTTGTTCAATTGCCACTGAAAATACTTTTATTGAAAACCAAATGATAGCAGGAAATTGCACGAGATTGAGGGTTAAATGAAGCAAGTTTCAACTCCTAAAAGCCAACGATCTTAAAGACTTTGAAATCTGTTATACTATAGATTTTAAACCCATTGGATACTTTCACTTTAGGAATGAAAAAGCCAAAATTACATGCAATTATAGGTAAAAGTGAATGCGACTAGTTCTTATAAAAACCATTTTTGGTGCTCAACCTCAGTCCTCAATCCAGCTGCATTGGATGCTTGAAGAGACAAAAGAATGGCCTCCCTGACACTCTCTTTGTGCTGTGTTCATTAATGCTGTCTGGAAAAGTTGTCAGTAAACATAAGATTTGCTATCTCATAAAGGTGCTAATTGCAATTTCTATCATTCCATAACCTGTTAGAAGTTTTCAAATGCTATGTAATGTACATTAATTATTTTCTCAAATTGCTTCATCAAACACCTAACATGTTGCCCTTCAGTTTCCTAGAATGCCATTGGAATATACTTCTTAATAAAGTTAGACCATTTCAACTAGAAAATTAAACCAGAGAGTGTCTTTCTTAGGCTGTGTATACTTGATACATTTAACAAACCCAGTACATTAAAGTGCACTTTATGCAGGGTCTATAGTTTCTGTAGTAAGCTAATATTCCCTAGTATTGAATATACATTGCTATAATACATAAATAAGTGAGAGGAAGACAAATTTTAGAGCCCCACCCCCACCCCGATCATTTTCTTTGGTGAGTCAATGTGCAAATATCATGAGCAAAATTAAGGGGTTATTTTTCTCCCCAAATGTTACTTTTGAAAAAGTCACAATAAGTTTATGTGGCTTTCCTTGGAGCTTTTGTGCACACTGGTTATATGAATTGCAGAGTTTGCCCAATGCAGTGGTTAGGTTAGTGGACTGGGACTTGGTACACAAAGGTTTACATTTTCCTTGCACCATAAAACACTGTGGATGAAGTTGGGTCAATCACTGTTTCTCAGCTTGTCCTGTGATGATAAAATATTAGTTCAGGAGAGCCATTCACTCTTTTTTTGACCTTATTGAAGGGAAGATTGGATGTAAACTATTATATAATGTCACAGAGATTTCTCAAGGGTTAATCAGTATATTTGTTGCTGTGTGTCTTCAAATTGTTCCCAATTTATGGTGACCCTAAGGTGAACCTATCATGGGGGCTTTCTTGGAAAGATTTGTTCAAAGGAGTTTTCCTTTGACATTCTTCTGAGGCTGAAAGAGTGTGACCTGCCTACAGTCACCCTGTGGGTTTCCATGGTCAATTGAGGATTTGAATCTTGGTCTCCAGAGTTCAATGCACAAACCATTACACCACATTGGTTACTTAACTTGTATATAGATTTGATAGGATAAAGAAATGGAACCATATATAATATTGCATATTTATTTCAATATCTCAAGTCATACTTTGATTTTGTACTTAGAACCATGAATGAAGATCATAACTTCCAGTTCTTTTATAAGCATCTATTGAAAGATCAATGAGGATTGAAATCATCTCTTTAAGAATGGAGCAGAGTAACTTTCTTTGCTGGATGTAGCAGCCGCAAAAACAGTATGTTTTCTTAATAATACTCTCGAGGATTTTCTATTGATTTATAGGTAATGGAGCTAATTTTTTGTACATCAATTCTACTACTCAACATGAAGGAAACAGAGCAAGAATAATTACCACTACCTACTTTCCAGCCAGTCTGGGTGTATGCAGACTCCGCTTCTGGTTCTGGATGTACAATTCCCCCCAAACTGGAACGTTAAAGGTAAGGAAAAAGAGAGCACTTAATATCTACTAGATTACAATAGCATCATTCAACCTTTTCTTTCTTGCCAATTCTGTGCTTTTCCACGGTATGGTCCAACCTGCTACCCTGTTCCCATTGCTTTACAGCCAAATATACTTTCCCACCACTATGCACAGTTTTGCTTGACATACTGCTAGAAGTCAAACAACTCTTCGCCACCTATTTTTATACAGTCTAGCCTTCCAAACTTGATAGCGTTGTTAATAATAATAAAAAGTACCACATGGAAAATTAGTTCTTGCATTACATTTTGCAAGATATCTCCTGTATGTTTATTGCATGTGATGACTCTTAGTTAAATTATATTACAAATCTATGCCTACTTGGAAATAAGCCTCACTAAATTCAAAATGGATTTATGCCCAGGTAAGTAAAAATGTTCTGTTACAGCAAAAGGAGAAAATCTTCCTGAGCAGATGAGATCTGCAATTCAGTTTTACCTCCACTTTTTCCAGTTCCAGTTCAGCTTTGTCTCATTGCTAGCATGTTTGTGGCATATACTGCAAGACCTATGTAACTGAAAAATCCATATCTATAGTATATTGAGATCAGAAGTCAGGTAGTTTAATGGCCTTCAGTCATATCCATGGTTTCAGGTAACTGCTCTTATTGTATTGTCTTTTCCATGTTTGGGGGGGGG